ATCATTATATCGTAGATACGTTATTATAGATACAACATTCAGTAGTAAGTTATTTTATTTCAAATGTAAAGATAACATTGCTACTCTTATAAAAAGATCAAGATATTTTATATTTCTTAAATACTTCTTAATTATTTATAAAATCGTTAGTATAATATATATATGCCGTTACAATAAGAAATATACATTTCAAAATATGTATTAAATGCAACTTGTATTTTAAACAGAGAAAAAATCTCAATACACTTAGTATCATATTTCATTTTACACAGAACTGACATAAAATGAATAAAGTAATAATGTAATAAAATAATACTAATAAAGAAAGTAATTAAATTTAAATTACATGTTACTACATTACCTAAAAAAAAATGTTTTTTTAATAGTTAAAATTTCATAAATAAACTGAGTCATTTCTTTTCTAAATGAACAAATGCAATTTATAAGTACCACAAAACGAATGAAACACATTAATGCGTTATGAAAAACTGACCTATACGCTTGCGCAAGCTTCAGTCAGGAAACACATGCAGTATTTTTCTATAAAAAATAAACATCTGTTCAATTTCCCACAATACACTAATAGCTTAATCGCTAGCTCTTTTTCATATTTATTAAATTGTGTATATTACAAACTCAAAGTGGAATTTTTTTCTTATAATATTACGTTTATATATTAAATTAGATAATATATGATACAATTTGCAAAAATAATACGTTATAAAGTTTTCTATCAATGAGGAAAAACGCACATCTTCGCTGATTTTGCCAAATACGTTTACATACTCGTAGAATAATGATCTGTATTACAACCAGATACTTTAGTCTCAATAAAATTCTATTACTCGCTCTTGGTTTATGGCCTTATTATCAATCAAATTTTGTTCGATTTCAAATTGTTTTAATTCTTGGTATTTTAATAAGTTTTATTATATTTCAGGTATTGTATATAATATTTCGCTTTTTTAGTTGTCTTATGTAATAACCCACTACGAAAGTTACTAATCATAGTAATAATTGGTTTTTGTTTATAATCACTGCAAATATTAATAAAAATAATACAGCTGCCTATAAATAATAATTATAATTATAAAAGTTTTATTATTAAGCAAGTTAATTTAAATTTTTAAAAATTTTTATCATAATTCACTAAACAAATGAAAAAATAGTTACTTAATGCATTTTTTTGTTTACTTAACTTGCTTTTTTATAATTAGAATTATAAAAATTTTGTCATTTTATCATGTTGTATTTTTCTATAAAACAGGTTATTTTAAATTTATGAAAATTCTTATCACATTTCGTTAAATTAATAAAGAAACAGTTCTTTAATGCAATTTTATGAGTAATTTTCTTTTACAGTTTACAACATTTCTGACTACGGAATGCACTCCTTTCCTTATAATAAAAGTTCTTTCTTTCTCTGTTTTTTTCATTATACAAGTAATAAAATATAATTCATTTTGGATTAATTCCGATAATGTAAGTTAAGCTTGTAAAATATGTGTACATTCAAATAAGGATCCTTCATAAATAAGTTTCTATACACAAAAATGTTTTCCAAGTTTCCAATGAGAAACACATTAAATATTATAAAAGGTAAGACTTTTGTTGGAGAGACTACAAGAAATCTGTAACGAGCTAAAAGATGAGAACGAAATCAACATTATGGAAGAATATGGAAACAATACGAAACGTTATACTATTATAATTATATGTAAGATAACATACATTTAAGTTAACATACATTTTACATTTCCATATAAAATAAATTAATCTTAAAAAATTAAATAATTAATTTAATTTGATACATACTTCTATAAATTATTTTTAGATATTTAGAATATAAATTTGTATTGAAAAAATACGGAAAACAAACATATGAGCAAACATATTGTCATAAAATATATAATTTATATTCATTTATTATAATATTCGATCTAATATAATTATTACATTAGAAATATGAAAAATATTATACGGTTGCAAAAATATTTTACAATTAATAAAAGAAAGATGATGATTGGAAAAATAATTAGAGAAATAAAAATTCAAAACATATTATAATATTTCAAAATGTTAAAAAATAATAAAACTTATACAATAACTTTTTGGAAATGTTTTCAGTTTTTACCATATGCTCCGTATCTATCATTACTACAACGCCACTTTTGATGCCGGTGCTTAATATTATTTTATATACAAATAAATCTGAGTCATATCAAATACATGTCATGACTGAATACTTTATCGATCAAGAAAAATATTCCTATTTAATTTTGTTACACCTCAATATAATTGTATGTATAGGGGCGGCTACAATAACAGCAACAGGTACAATGCTTAGAGGATGTCTCATACATGCTTGTGGAATGTTTAAAATTGCCAGGTAAAGAAATAAATCTAAGAATAAATACAAAAGTTATAAATTTATTAATAAAACCTTAGTTTTAGTTTTAAATCAATATATATGCCAAAATTATATAATCAATTTATAGTTATCGCATTGAGCAAGCAATGACAATGAAGTTCAAAAAGATTAGTACAAATAACGAGATTATGATTTACAAGAAAATAGGTTGTGCCATCGACATCCATCGTAAAGCTATGAAGTTGTATTGATTTATATAGTATATGTGATATCAATCTGTATACATGCACACACATATATATATGTGTGTATGTATGTATGTATATATGTATATACAAGACTGTGATTCCATAGAATTTGTAATAATACTTTTTTTTAAGGTATTCTGAATTTTTATTATCCAGTTTTGAAGGATCATTCGCTTCATTAATATTAGTCGGTGTGATTTCGTTGAGTCTCAATCTTTTTTCAGTGAGTCGTTTTTTGCATTTCTTATATTCAATAATCTATATAAATCATTTCGTGATGTTTAAGTTAGAAAACTAACAGATATAAATTATAATAAAATTATCACAAAAAGATGAGAGACAAATTCGTCTGTAATTTATCAAAAATTTTCAAAAAAATTATTCACATCATATTTATATTATTGTTGTAATTATTATAGTAATATATGTATATTTAAAAATGTATATGATGAAACATAATTGTTAATACATATAAAATACATATAATAATAATAATAATTATAATATTTTAGATTTTCCAGACTGCATCGCTTGGAAATAATGAGGAATGCATACTGCATATTGTTATTTTGTCTCTGATTCTTTTGTACATGTTCTTAGCTAATTATGTCGGACAAGAAGTTACAGACCACAATAATTACGTACATACTACTGCGTAAGAGATTGTTTCGTACTATATTGATGTGACTAATATTTGAATATTATATTTACTTGAATAGTAAAATTAGTAAATATGGTAATATATTAATAAATATGGTAATTATATAAATATTGTACTAAATGTGAAAATAATCAATATATTTCTATATATTCGCTGTATGATGAATGCAGAAGGAAAAGGATATTTTTAATTTGACAAAAGATAGTTAATTTTACCATGGCTCAATTCCTAATAATTTCAATTTTACACAGTATATACATGTCATATACGCACCAATGCAACGTATGCATGCATGCACGCATGCACGCAAGCAATATGTTCATGCAACATTTAGGGTAATAAAGTAGTAATTTTTAAAAATTCACGTACGAGTATATACACGCCTTCTCTCTGCCCTTTTTCTCACCCTTTCTACAATGACAACAGTTGAAAAAAAATTTATGAATATCACGCAGTCAGCAATTACTTTATCAGCAAACTTATTTATTTATTGTGATTATTTTATAGGTATAATGTTCGATGGTATATAGCACCCATACATACACAAAAATTAATTCTCTTTATACTGCAAAAGGGTAGCAAAGTCTTCGTTTTAAATGTTGGCAAATTATTTGGTGCATCGTTAGAAAGTTTTGCCACGGTAAATACATCATACATTATAATAATTATAAAAATTTTCGCATTCTGATAATGCAATAGAAGACATATTTACATTACAGTTAATAAAAGCATCGATGTCTTATTTCACTTTTATGTATTCTATGCAGTAAAGCAGATATATTATTTGACTCAATAGGCTGTGCAAGGTAATTCTCATAATTAAAAAAACCGAATATAATCTACGCAAAATTTTCACGAACTTAAATAATATGTTAATTTTATTTTAACTATTGCACTGTAAAAAAACATAACAAAAACAAGAATAAACATTCACAATTATTTAAATATCCATCAAAAATATCTATTCATTTAAAACTTTCCTAAAAAATATATAGATAGATTTGATATTAATATTTTCATTCAATTATACAAAATATAACCGATAAGAAATTGTCAGAAAAGGATTCGATAATTCGGGTTACAAAAAATATAACATTAACATGCACAATTAAAGTGTGAAATCTGTTAACAAAAGTGTGAATCTTTTAACAGAGTACAAGAATATAATTTTTTTTATGTAAATGAGTAGCATGTTTCAAATCAATTTCAAATCACATTCATAAATTATACTACATACTTATTTTATAGTTTACTGTTTCATTTTTCGAATAATAATTTTGTAAATAATTTATGTTAACTCTTATCTAATCCAATTTATATTCAAAGAATGTAACGTATTCAAATAACAAGTGCATGCATAGAAATATCTAAACAATGTTGCTAGAAAGGACTGAGTCACGCTTGTGTATACTTCGATAAAGAACTCATATTATAAGTGTTCTTGTTGTAAGAAATACACATTTGCTGTTTATTCGGCATTTTAAATCGATCATCTCGTTACTTACAAAATTTTCAAAATTCACTAGAAAATTTTATTTTAGCTAATTCATCTCAAAATCATCTCGAAAATTGTCACGCATATTATATTCCAAACTTAACATTTTGCATCTTTAATGCTCCGAGATGTCCACAATTGTGCAAGTAAAAAGAATGTTTGAGGCAATAAAACATTTAATTTACATTCATTTACATTTGAAAAACGACCTCAATCATTTTCTAGACATATACATATATGTTCAATTATACGCTTTGTAACATAATATTTAATCAGATATTTCCTGTACAGATATTTTAGGCAATTTTTCTTTTTTAATAGAATAAAAATCTCCATTTATATAAGTAATTTATACAAATAATTTTAACTTTAAATATCAAGAGATCAATAATTGAAATCATTTAATTCATTGTATAGATTAATATAATAAAAATTATAATTAATAAATTTAAACAAAAGAGGAAGAAGATTATATATATTGCTTTTTTATTTGTCAATCATTATATCGTTATGATATAGACGCAACGTTCAGTAGTAAGTTACCTTATTTTAAGTATAAAGATGACATTGCTTCTCCTATAAAAGAGATCAAGATATTTAATATTTCTTAAATATTTCTTAATTATTTTATGAGATTTTTAGTATATGTTACAATAAGAAATATGCATTTCAAAATATGTATTAAATGTAACATATGTATTTTAAACAGAAAAAAAAGACAAAAAAATCTCATGATACTTAGTATCATATTTCATTTTATACTGACATAAGAACTGACATAAAAACAAATAACGTAATGGAATAATACGAATAAAAAAAGTAGTTAAATTTAAATTACATGCCATTACATTATCTAAAAAAACATTAGATACGTTATAAAATTGACCGATAATCTCAAGAAAATTGTAAGGAATGTTAATTCTAAAAATATATGGAAGAGTTTATAAAATGACGTTGTTTGCAATAAATCTTACCGCTAATAAATCAATAGCTGATATGTCGATAAATTAAGTTATTGTCACTTCTTTAAAGGACCAATGCATTTTACAAGTTCGCATTATGAAACGAATGAGACATGTCATTGCATTACTAGAAACTGATCTATACTTATACAAGTTTCTGTTAGGAAACATATGCAGCATTTTTCTAGAAAAAATAAACATTCGTTCAACTTCCCACATTGTATTGATCGCTCAATCGTCGACCCTTCCTCAAAATTGTTAAATTGCGTGTATTATAAATTCAAAGTAACATTTCACTTAATGTTACATTTATATTTAATTATATAATATATAATACAATTTATAAATATGGCAAATATAAAGTATTCTATCATATGGGAAAACGCACATCTTTCCTGACCTTTATCGCTGACTTTCATTGTCAAATACGTTTGCATATTTGTGGAGTAATGATTTGTATTATAACCAAATACTTCAGCATCAATAAAATTCTTTTACTTGCTCTTGGTTTATGGCCTTATAATCAATCAAATTTTGTTCGATTTCAAATTGTTTTAATTCTTAGTATTTTAACAAGTTCTATTATATTTCAGGTATATGCATTTTACATTATATTCTACCTTTTTAATTGTTAGCTCTTATATAATAAGCCACCCCTATAATAAGCTACTTATATATTAAATCCAAAAATTATTAATTGTAATAATAATTAGTCTTCTCAAAATTTTTATCAAATCACACCACATCAATATTATCAAATATTAACAGAAATGTGATGCAATGTGTTATTATATAATCAGAATTATAAAAATTTTGACATAATTTATGACAAAGCAGATTACTTTAAATTTATAAAAATTCTTATCACAATTGTTAAACAAACAAAAGAATAGTCTTTTAATGCAATTTTATGAATAAATTTCTTTTTCAGCTTACCACATTTCTGACTGCGGAATGCACTCGTTTAGTTATAATAAAAGTTCTCTCTGTCACAATTTTCTCTAGTATATATATAATAAAATATAATTCATTTTGGATTAATTCCGCTAATGTAAGTTGAACTTGTATGTTCATATTCAAATAAAAAAATATTTTTCATATATATAAGTTTCCAATAAGTTTCCATACATGACAATCTTTTCCAAACTTTCCAAGAAGAAATACATTAAATATTATAAAAGGTTAAACTTTTGTTGGAGAGACTACAAGAAATCTGTAATGAACTAAAAGATGAAAACGAAATCAATATTATGGAAGAATATGGAAATAACACGAAACGTTATACTGGTGTAATTATATGTAAGATAATATATGTAAATATATATATATGTTTTAAGTAATAAATTAAAAAAGAAATTAAATTATTAATTTAATTTAAATAACTGATATTTAAAGTAAATTATTTTTCATATTTTTAGAATATAAATATGTATTGAGAATAATAAAGTAAAAAAACAAATGCAAATATATCTTCACAAAATGTATAATTTTATTTTTATATTAAAAATATAAAACACTTTTAATTAATAATTGTAAAAACATTTTACAACAGATGATAAACTGAAAAGATATTTTTAGAACACAGAAATTTGAAACATATATAACATTTATTATTTCGAAACATAAAAAAATAATAAAACTTATATAATTACTTTTTTTGAAATGTTTGCAGTTCTTACTATATGCAGCTTATTTATTATATATATAACGCCAGTTTTGATGCCGATGCTTAGTATTATTTTACATATAAATAAATCTGAGCCATATCAAATGTTATATTTTATGACTGAGTACTTTATCGATCAAGAAAAATATTCTTACTTAATTTTGTTGCATATCAATATAGCCATATTTATTGGAGCGACTACAGTAACAGCAACAGGAACAATGCTTAGAGGATGTCTCATACATGCTTGTGGAATGTTTAAAATTGCCAGGTAAAAAAACGAGCCTAAGAATAGTTATATACAAAAGTTACTTGTAAATAATACTTATAAATAAGTAACAAAAGGATTTGTAAACAAAACTTTAATTTTAAATATATTAATATAAACAAATTCGATAAGACTGTATAATCAATTTACAGTTATCGTATCGAGCAAGCAATGAAAATGTTCGAAAATGTTAATATAAAGAACGAATTTACGATTTATAAGGAAATAGGTTACGCCATCGACATTCATCACAAAGCTATGAAGTTGTGTTGATTTATTTTATATATAGAATACATGTCATAGTAATTCCATAGTATTTATAATCATATTTTTTTAAGGTATGCCGAATTTTTATTATCC